CACGGAAGGAGCTCCTCTGCCTGGGAAGGGGAGTCCTTCGTCCCTCAGTTTCGAAACTGGTCTCTTGAACACCCTCGCGTGCTGCGCGTCCTGTCGCTGCAGTGCCGAGACAGGACAATGACGAAGGCATCTGCAGCTTCGAGCCGAGCCGACCACCCGAACTGCGCACCTGAACCTCCACAAACCTCAGCTCAGGGGCCGCTCCGGCGAAGCTTGGGAGCGTTCTTTCAAGGGACCTTCCGAACCGAGGCCGGACGGCTCTCCACGATGCGGCAGAGGGCGGCGACACGGCGTGCTTGCGGCTCCTCCTGGACGCCGGGTTGAAGAAGGCGGCCAGCGGAGCGCACACAATAACACAGACCTCCTGAAAGGGAGGAGAGGCGAGGTCTGTGTAGGCTCCGCGGAATGAGCAAATGGACCCGTTCTGACGAGCTCTGATGAAGAACAGCGAACGAGCAGCCACCGTGCCGAACTCCTTACAGACACACCCAAGCCTCCCCGAACCCTATCCTCGGAGCTCTGGGTCCCCTTGCTGAGCCTGAGCATGCCAGGATGCACAGGACAACGATGGCCCGGAACCCCGGAGGGCATGGGATGGTGGTCTGCCGAACTATTTAAGGCGCAATGCTCTTTAGTCAAACACCTACGACGCTTCTGGAGTGCAGAGACCTCCCAAATTAAAATGCAAGAAAGGGAACGGCAGAGCAGTTCTGGGCCTTTACTTGGTCGAGCTCGGCATCGTCTCCTTTTTGGGGGTTTTCACGGCTCAAGATTAAGGCACAGGTGCCTCCGAGGCTTCTGTCGCCCTCGAAGCCTCCGCCGAAGCCGAGGTGTCACGCCGCTCCACGGGGCCGCATTCAAAGGCCACGCCGGGTGCGTGGAGCTGCTGCTCATGGCCGGCGCAGAAAAGGCGCGCCTTCTCGGGAGGGTAAGAAGTGGGGAGGGTTTCAAGGGCTTGGAGGGTTTCAGGAGGAGGGCTTTTAAGACAATGCTTTCATCGGGTCTGTGTAGGGTCGTATAGAGGGAGGCCGAAGTGCCTGAATCCATCACGGCCGTGCATGGTGCACGCCTTCTTGAGGTCAAGCCAGCAAGCATTCAAGTTTCTCTTCCTGGGAAGGGCTTGGTGTCGAGGGCTTCTGGGGGTTCGAGACTCCGGAGGTTGTCGTACCTGTAGTATTCCATGCGCAGCATCCCGAGCCTTGGAATTCAAGAATCGCAGTGTTGCTGCAGGAGGCATAATTTTAGCAGATTCCACCGCATATTATCTGTCGACGCTCCTTGCTCCCCGTTTTGAGCCAAGACTCTCCGACTCCCCAGAAGCCCCGAGCCCCGAAGTCTGCTGGAAGACGTGGCCAGGACTTGCAGACTGAAGACGGCCCGGGACCCCAGGGCCTTCAGACCGATTCAGTGCGGCTGCATCGGGTTTGTGGTGGATTCCGAGTGGGAGGCCAGCTCCGCAGCCCACCCTAAGCCCATCAAAACTGGGCGGCTGCGATTTCAAGAGCATCAAGCATGGACCGCCGCAGATGTCAACCGAAACGGGGGTGGAAGTCGGCGAGTCCACAGCCTCTTGGACCCGCCCCTCCTGGTCGTAAAAATTCGACATGCGTCTCCGAGATGAAGAGACTTGATCGGGGCTAGGGCACACAGCAGGTGAGACGGAGGAAGGAAGCTGAGCAAGCCCAGAGAACGCGCGTCCAACAACGTCCGTGCTCAAGAAGTTTAGAGGGGGGAGGGCGCTTGTCGGGGTGGAGTTTCAGGGTAAAGACTGGCTGAAGCCGTCTCATCGCTGTGTCGTCGTATGTTCCCTCTACAGTAGCATTCGCAAGGCAGCGTAGCACCGAAACTTATCAGCAGTCGTTCACGGAAGGAGCTCCTCTGCCTGGGAAGGGGAGTCCTTCGTCCCTCAGTTTCGAAACTGGTCTCTTGAACACCCTCGCGTGCTGAGCGTCCTGTCGCTGCAGTGCCGAGACAGGACGATGACGAAGGCATCTGCAGCTTCGAGCCGAGCCGACCACCCGAACTGCGCACCTGAACCTCCACAAACCTCAGCTCAGGGGCCGCTCCGGCGAAGCTTGGGAGCGCTCTTTCAAGGGGCCTTCGAACCGAGGCTTTACGGCTCTCCACTCTGCGGCAAGCGGCGGCGACACGGCGTGCTTGCGGCTCCTCCTGGACGCCGGGTTGAAGAAGGCGGCCAGCGGAGCGCACACAATTACACAGACCTCCTGAAAGGGAGGAGAGGGCTGACATTTTCGCAGAGGCGAGGTCTGTGTAGGCTCCGCGGAAACTCGGTCTGATCAGCTCTGATGAAGAACAGCGAAAGAGCAGCAACCGTGCATAACAGATAGCTTGCGTCGGTGTAGCATTCCGAACAGCTTACAGACGCACCCAAGCCTCCCCAAACCCCCTCCTCGGAGCTCTGAGTCCCCTTGTGCTGAGCATGAGCCTGCCAGGACGTACAGAACAACGGTGGCCCGGAACCCCGGAGGGCATGGGATGGTGCTCTGCCGACCTGTTTTCTCGTTGTTTTCTCGCACGACGCTTCTGGAGTGCAGAGACCTCCGAAAGAAAATGCGAGAAAGAGAACGGCAGAGCAGTTCTTTGCTTTTTTAGCGTAAGCGGGCGGCTGCGTTGCACGAAGCATGGACCCCGCCGCAGCTGGCAAGGGGACGACTCGAACACCCGAGCTGCAAAACTGGACTTTGATTCTTCGGTTCGTTCGGCTTGTGGAGTCTGCGAGGGGCCGGCACTGCAGTGATGTAGCCAAAGGAAATACGAGAACAGGGGCCGGCAGAGCAGTTCTGGGCCTCTTTCTGGGCCCTGGCTCGGCTTCGGACGTCGGGATCTCTTCTCCTTTTCGTTTGTTTGGGGTCGTTTCCCGACACCACAGCTCCCCGGCGAAAGGGGGCTCTGCGAGGCGGACCGGACGCCCTCGGAGCCTCCGCCCAGAGCTGAGGTATGACGCCGCTCCACCGGGCCGCTTTCTACGGCAAAGCCGCCATCGTGGAGGCACTGCTAAAAGCCGGCGCAGACAAGGCGCGCGCCCCCCGCCACTCCCAGGGTGGCTTCGGCGGGGTTTCAAGGGGTCTAAGTTTCAAGGGCGTCAAAATCAGAGAATCCCGAGCCTTGGAAGTCAGAATCGCGGTATTTTGCAGAGTCCATCGGATGGCCTTTGTCGACGCGTCTTGAGCCAAGGCCAAGGGGGGCTTGGAGAGCAGGGGTCTGTTTGTGGTCTGTTTTTGGGAGGCCGACGTGCGTGAACCCGTCACGGCCCGCCTTCTTGAGCCCAGCTTCCCCAGAGCAGACCGCAAATCCTGTGAAAGGCTTGGTGTTGAGGGCTTCTGCGGTTCGAGGCAACTGCAAAAAAGACGAGACTGCGCGGCAGTCACGAATCGCAGCTTCGAAGCAGGGTCTTTTGCGATGGAGAGCAAATCCCAGCAAGCGTACTCGTACTCTGGCATGGCGGCACACTTGTAGCTTCTTTCCATGCCCGGCAAGCTCCTTTGCAGCCTCAGCTCATCGTGCAACCTGCCCAGCAAACAAGCAAATTTCTCTGCATAGGAATGCAGGTGTTGGGTTGCTGTGCCTTGCAGCCCATGCCCAGAATGCAGCAGAATCCGAAGTCCGACACTGATGCTGGCCGGGGGGGGGCTGGGTGAAACACGGAGCCGAACGCTTGTACGGCTAAGTGCAAACTGTAAATGCAGAAGATGGATGTGCCGAAGCGCCGCGACTCGTGTCCCATCCCAAAGCCGTGGCCAGGGGCTCAAAGACAACCAGGGCCTGGAGCCCAGGGCGACTGAGGGCCGGGCGGCGGATCGAAATTTGGAAGATCAGCTGTGTAGGCCTCTGAGGATTTAGCTGAATTTGCTGCTGCCTCTGCCGCGTGTGGCCCAGGCAAAACAGCGCTGGACTTGGCAAGTGAAGCCTGTGATGAGGATGACCTCGACAACCTCGACGAGGCGGGAGCCGAGCGTTGGCGATTTTTGCGTTGGCGAAACAGCGCCGGACTTGGCAAGACAGGATGAGCGGGAGGCTCGGCGGAAAGGACGTCCAGCCTGCAGGCCACTCCTCGAGGCGGGGGCCGAGCAGCTTCGGAGGGCGGTCGGTTGGGCGCTTCCCGGCTAGGCCAGCGGCTTGCCGGGGCCGTGACGTCGGGGCTCCCAGGAGCCTTCTCGCTTGTTCAGCCGGGATGAGAGTACCGAAGCCTTTGCATGGTTTAGGGTTTAGGGTTGAGCTTCCGAAGGCTTAAGGCGGATTAGGGGGGAGAGAGAGCTGTACCATGGATCCTTGACAGACATCGCCTAGCAGCTCGAGCTCAAGGCGCATTCTCTTTTTGCTAGAACGCCGACTGTATAGGTTTGGGATGTTTAGGGTTTAGGGATGTTTAGGGTTAAAGGAACCCACACAAAGAAGGCCAGAAATGGAACCCTGGAAGCCCGAGGTGGGGAAACTTAGGAAGGCTCCGAGGTGCTGAGACCCGGGAGAGTCTTCCAAGCCCCGAAAGCATACGGTGGAGGGCTCGAAGGGCTTAAGGTTTCGGGTTTTGGGGGTGAGCATGTAGGCTTCTACGGGTAGCTTAGGATGAGTTGAGGTTTTAGGTTCCGGTTTGAGGTGGGATGGGCTGGGGGTGTCGAGTCCCAGAATCTTCGACCGCCACCAGGCGGGATGTTCGAACTTTGGCACGTCGCTGAGAAGCTGCAATGAAGTGTGCCTTGAAGGCCTAGACATCAGGCAACGCCGCTGAACAAAGACCCCCGTCCGCTGAAGCCTGTCAAAGACTCCGGACGCCATCCCAAACCGAAACGTCCTGATGCACCTGACCTGTAGACCCTAAATCCCAAGGCCTGCGAAGCACAAGTGCCCTGTCTAGGAGTCTAGGAATGTTTGGTGCTGTAGATCTGAACAGTGCACCTGCGGATAAACATGCTCGGATAGCAGGAATCGCAGATCCAGATATTAGTAGACACTAAGCCCTAAACCCTGAACAAAAAGCAATAAACCCTCAACCCTAAACCTACACCCTAGAGTTCGCGCAGGCGGTGCACAAGATGGGTGGCCGAAGAGAAGCAGCGACCCATCGGCTGGTCCTCATCGGGGTGGCCTTAGTAGCCTTAGTAGTTAGTAAGGAATCAAAATTTCTTCATGCAAAATCTCTGCAATAAAGAAGCTTTAGTAGCATGGACAATTGTGCATTCATACATCGGAGACCCGAAATCGAAGTATTCGGGCTCTGTTCACAGGCAAAGCTTCTGTGACCTTGCCTCTAACATGGAGCCAGCGAAGCTGGGGTTTTCATCCAGCTGCGCTTCCCCAGTTGCACCCGCTGAAAATCGAGAGACTGGGGAGCAAGATTTAGAGTTTATGGGTTTTGCAGGGCTTGAGGGGTTCAGGGCTAAGAGGTTACATATGCGATTGAAGGGGTAACAGTTGCGGATGTCTGGTTCGCTTCCTTTCCTCGGGAAATGGGCTTTGGCTGGGCGGGGCTCTTTCGGGTTTCCAGGCTGAGCTCAAGGAGTCTCCAACCTAAACCCGAAGCCCTAAACCTTATACCGTTATACTCCAAGCTAAACCCTAAACCCTAAACCCTAAACCCTAAACCCTAAACCCTAAACCCTAAACCCTAAACCATACTCCAAGCCACCCAAGAGAGCGTTCTGTAGCCTCTGGCCGGAGCTGCCTGGAGCCTCTCCTTGTCGTGCCGAAGCTTGGGCTCCACGAAAGCTGGGCGCTTGGCAAGGTAGGGTTTCTGGTTTAGGGTTTAGGGTTTAGGGTTTAGGGTTTAGGGTTTAGGGTTTAGGGTTTAGGGGGAGGGATGTTGAGGGTTTAGGGTCCCAGGTTTAGGGTTTTCACGTAGGTGTCTGATTATGTAAGGTGTACAGCAGGGTTTATACGATGGCGAGGCAAGGCTACAAGCTTTTTCAGAACAGGGTTTAGGAGATGTTTGTTGGTGTAGTTTCAGGTCTACAGCAGGGTTTGCAAGATGTCTGGCAAGGCTATATAGGTGTCTGAACATGAGGTTTGTGATGTCTGTTTGCCTGTTCATCGGGCTTGTTTGTGAGTCTACATGTTTGCTGTGTTCAGGCATCATTAGTGAAGAACATAGGCAATAGGGCCTCATCATTCACGGCTTTAGGTGATTAGGTGTTTCGGTTTGAGTTTAAGCTTTAAACATATAGTGTTGGAAGGGTAGTGCGGGTTTAGATAGGGCGCCGGCTATAGGGTATAATGTTGTGGGTTTCAGGCCTCAACCCTCAATGCTATCAGCTTTGGTTAAGGGGCTTGGGGTTTAGGGTGAAAGATTTGGCAGTCTCAAAAACGAGCGAATTAAGGGTCTGATCAGAATCCCGAGAAAAGGCGAACCCTACTTCTAAGAAATCTCCATATCCCTGAAGCCCTTCTAATTCCGCGCGTAGAATCCCAACAAACCTCCTCTAGAGCCCTTCTAAATTCCTTACAGAACCGGTTAGAGACGTTTGTAAAACACCAGCAGAACCCGTACAAAAACCCTTGCAGAATCTTTTCAACTTCCATTTAGGGAATTTCTTGGCTCACAGGCTCCAAAACCCTCCTCTAGTAACGCAAGATACCTTCAGCTATCGAGAGATGCTGAGTAAGAGTACCCTAAGCGACTATCTGAACCCTCAACCCTAAACCCTAAACCCTATTTTTTTTTTGCATCTCTTCCTTATTATTTCACGGTGCCCGGGGGAGATCCCCGGGTCGCGTAGCTCGGAGGCTTTTCCAGCACTAGACTAGGCCCTCAGAAGCAGCCTGCCGGCAAGCCTCGAAGATTTTTTTAGAGCCTTAGAGAACCTGTGTTGGGCCCTAGACAAACCCTTGTGGAACCTTTTCTAGGGAACCCTCCGAGAATCCCCTCAAGCGGACTTCCCGCCCAACCCAGCTATAGGCTCGAAGCAGGAGACCAGAAAACCCCCTAAACAAATCACTGAATCGCTCTTTGTTTTGTCCCGATGCTCTGCTCGTTTGTACACGTGTCATTCTTTTTAATGCTCAAACCCTAAACCCTAAACCCTAAACCCTAAACCCTAAACCCTAAGCCCTAAACCCTAACCATTACGCATAGCACACTTCATCTTGAGGCATGTCACAGCCCCGAAGGTATCCCAGACATGCGCTCGCCAACCCTAAACGCCTAAACTCTAGACAACGAAACCCTCAGACCCCCAACTTCAAGCCTCCAAGCCGACACACTTTTGTAAGCCCAGGAGACCCTCAAACCCAACCCCCCCCCTCCCCCCCCAACCGCTAGGCCCCTGCAAAATTAGAACCCTAAAGCCCTATATCCCCCTCCTAAACCCTAAAGCCTTATCACCCACAAAACCCCCTAACACCCAAAAACCCGCAGAAATCCGAGGCCTCGGGTCTCGCTGCGATGGCCAATCCAATGGACTCGACCTCTGAGGAGGAGCGGTCTCTCTTCGGGGCTGATGGGGGGCGCGGGAGAGAGAGGCAAGGAGAGAAATAGAGAGGGGGAGGTAGAGAGAGAGAGAGAGAGAGAGCGATGGAGGGAGGGAGGGAGGGAGGGAGGGAGGGAGGGACGGACTCATGGATGGATGAAATGATAGGTTGATTGTTTGAAGCAAGAAATATAGCGGACAGATCGACAGGAGCTATCTGTACGAGAAGACGCATACAAACATCAGTAAATGTTCAGATAGCTACACGCAGAACTGAACAGATAAGCACATAAATGAATAATATTGTATACCTGTGTAAATAAATATAAATAATTAAGTATATATGTATATATATATATATGCATGTGTATATATATATATATATACATACACATTTGCATGATCCTTGAGGGTTGTCAGAGGATTCTTACAAGTTTTGTGTTTACAAGGGTCAGAGACAAGCAAGCCTAAATGACTATCGAGGTTTCTTTGTAGGATCTGTGTCGCCTCCCAAGATCCACGACAAGATCGAGGACATCTCAAAGAAAACCCTAAACCCTAAACCCTAAACCCTAAACCCTAAACCCTAAACCCCAAACCACTCCACAAAGCCTTAACCGTGAATCCCACGAACGAGACCTGCGTAAGCGACCGTACCAAAAGGCGAAGCCAAAGTTGAACACACTCTCTGTCTCTCTCTCTCTCTGAACCTGCCCTAATCCATAAACTTTCACATCGTTTAAAACAGTTAGCAGCATGATGTGGGCAATATCGTTTCAACGCACATCTGATCATTTTACAGTTACGGCCCGCTGCTTCTCTCACTCGCCGCTGTATACTGACATGGCGGAAGTGCAGCGGCTTCCCCTAAACCTTAAACCCTATAAACCCTAAACCCTAAACCTTAAACCCTGTAAACCCTAAACCCCAAACCCCAAACCCTACAACCTAAACCTGTTTGATGCCCCGTGCCTGACTTCAAGCCGGAAAGCCCGAAGATTCCAACTCTTGCAATCCAGAAACCATCCCGGACAGAAGCATTCCTAGGCACTGTTTAGGCTTTAGGGTTTAGGACACTTCACAAGTCTTTCTAGCTTTAGGGTTCAGGTTGAGGTATTGTAATTCAAAATACCTGAACTTCAACCCCGAATCCCGAAAGCCAGAAACCGATTGGACAGCCTGAAAAGGTTCCCTCACCCTGAATCCTACCTATAGTCTCCATTGTTCCTCTTTTGGTTAATTTAGAACTAATTTAAAAGTGTTCGGTTACTGTTCCTATACGGTAACCCCGAAAAGGAACTACAAAGGAGACTAAAGGTGGCCCCGGATACCAAACTCGAAACCTCCGAGATTTCAGAGCTTCCAAGGAGTCTTCGGAGGATTCCGACAGCCATCCGCCGGGTGCCCGGTAATGTGAAGAGATGTTTGGGGATAGACTCGGCCTGGGATTTAGAGTTTAGGATTTTGGGTTTACAGGTTTAGGGTTGTGGGGTCTGTGGGGCAATTTAATTTGTTTGAGCAGTTCTGTGTTTGCTTTGCTGCAAGGTGCGAAGATTTTAGCCTCAAGTTTAGGGATTTGGGTTGGGTGTTTTTGTGCGAAACTTCGCCAAACTGAACCGCAAATCCAGCGCCCTTGAAAAACATCTAAAACCCTGGATCCCAGCTGACAGTTGCTAAACCCCAAGCCCTCAAACTGCGCAGATCCTCAGAAGCCTGGAGCCTCTAAGGAAAGGGTTCGTTGAGACCAACATGGCAATGTTTCGCAGGCCCACCGTCAAAACCCTAAACCCTAAACCCTAAACCCTAAACCCTAAACCCTAAACCCTAAACCCTAAACCCACCGTCAAGTCCTGGGGATTCACTTGCGCAGTCTTTTTGTCGAGGGCGTTTCGGGGTTCCGATTGTTCATGGGTGTTTCAGAGCTTTGAGGAAGGGTTTAGGGTTTAGGGGTTTAGGGTTTAGGGTTTAGGGTTTAGGGTTTAGGGTTTAGGTTCATAGCTTTGAGGATTGAGCCTTGCTGATCCTGCTACGATTCTTACATTCATTATTATTAGTATTATTATTATTACTACTACTACTACTACTACTACTACTACCACCACCACCACTACGACGACGGCGACGGCTACTGCTACCGTTAGCTACAACACGACGACAACGACTACAATCACTCCTTTCAGTCTTCTTCTTTACTTATGATTTTGCACGATTTCGCCCCTGCATCGACAGCTGCTGTCATGAAGCGCTATGATGCCGTCTAGTATCTGTTTATTATGAGTGTTATTAGCATTACTATTATTATTATTATTGTTATCAATATTCGTAGTTTTATCATTGTTATGATGCCATCTAGAAACGCAATTCGGGGTTTCATCTTTTCAGGGATCCCGGGTGTCCGAGCGTTTTGCTTTTGGGCTTTACACCGGAGTCTGCATTATGGTATGCCTGCAAGGTTTCCCGTCTCCGAGGCGAACTTTGAGTATGCCTCAAATCAACAGCCCAGAATCCTGCGCCCATCCCAAACCGTAATTCCGAGTCCCTGAACCGTACAGCTCAAACCCTCAACCTAGACTGGACTAGGGTACCTTGCAGACTATTTGCGTTGCTATGTCGTAGCAATATGCATGCAGACAGCACGACTATCTAAACGTAGACACCTTCAGCCCTGGACACCAAAACCACCCGAAACCCGCAGGACCAACACACTTTCAAAACAATTCTAAACCCTAAAAAAGACTACGAGAGAGCAGATTCCCAGCTCCCATGCCAGGAACCCGCAGCTTATGAAGGCGCTATGCAGGGCGGGGAAGAGCGACAGGTGGTGACGAAGCCTTGTACGCTGAGCCCTGACCTCTGAACTACATGCTTTCATAAGAAGACCCTGTACCAAAGCCTGTACTACATACAAACCCTACACCCTTTATCATGCGTTTGGCTTTCATACAAAACCCCGTAGCAAAACCTATATACAAGCCCTAAATCATGTATCATGAGCGTCAGAAGGGAGTTCTTGCAAAGCAGGGCCCAAGGTGTTCCGAGTTCCGAGATTCTTCCAGGAACTTTACAGGGTCTGTCTTGCCTCCTACCGTATGGCCCCTGAAGTGCAGCCGGCATCTGAAGTTCCGAGCATGGCTACGTCTAGTCCTTGAGAATATGCTTCCGTGTTGATGCACAGAAGAGCGCGCCGCTCTTATGATCTCGGTTTAACAGGGACTCTAATTTAGAAGCTAAACCCCGCACCCTAAAACCCCAATGCTTCTAAAAAAGCACACAAGTCTGGAAGACTTCCACTCGTGAAAAAACCACCATACTGTAAGGGAAGCGCTTTGACTAAGGGTGTTTAGGGTTTAGGGTTTATAAGCTTTAGGGTTTAGGGGTTTATGGTTTAGGGTTTACAGGGTTTAGGGTCTAGGGAGTTCAGGGTTTTCAGAGCATCGGCCATGGGCTTGACTTGCAGGGCTCGAGGCTTAGGATTTTCGGATTTCGGGTCCATTGGGGTTTAGGGTTTAGGGTTTAGGGTTTAGGGTCAGCCGCTGCAAGTCCCTTCGCTCGGGGTTCTTCGCAGCTGCAAACACGAAGTTTCGGGCTTTGCGTGTTCCGAAAAAATTCCCTAAAAGCGGGCTTTCGCACGAAACCCGCCTCCCCCCTGAAGCTCTGAAGCGGTTTCGGGTTAGGGCCTGGGGTTGCTAGGCCAGCAGTATTTGAGCCAGGTTCTGCTCCTAGCTGGGCTTCAGCAAGCCGGGTGCAGTGGGGGACCTGCCCTGTCTTGCAGGGTTTCTGGGTTTGGGGTTCAGGGTTTAGGGTTTCTGGGTTTGGGGTTCAAGGTTGCAGGACTTCCAGTTTTAGTAGCTGGGTTTTGTTGGGGAAACCGGGCTTCAGGGGTTTGGGAGCAAGTTCGGTTGAGAGAGGGAGTGGCATCCAAAGCTGCATGGTTTCGAGTTGAGTTTCGTCGGATCTCTGCAGTTGAAGTGTTGAAGATTTCTGGAACCTTCTTGGTTTTGTCCGGGTTCCCTAATCCCATACCCTGAGTGGGAAACTCCAAAACCTGAACCATCAGTCCAAAACGCGAAGCCTTTCTTGCTAAACCTGTCGCTCAGACTTGGCGAACACCTTCGTCTTGAGTGACATGAAGGCGACGTACTGGGGTATCCACCAGCTGGCTCCTCAATCGCGGTGCCATGCTTACGCTCAGGTTTTGGCAAAGCCTTAGACCTTATGCCCCACGCCCTAAATCCTAAGCTTTCCTGCCTTCAATCCGAAAACCTGAACCCCAAACCCGGAGCTCCGGAACCGCCAAAATCCGCACTAATGCGACGTCCGTACCGCGACGAGCCCAGAGGACTAGTAGGTTCAGCTTAGAGTGCGAAAGGGACTGGTTCGTTTTTTTGAGGGGTAGTTTGACTTCGAAAGGCTTTAGGTCTTGTGGCTTGGGGCTCCGGAAAAAACATGTAGAACCCTCAACCCCACAAAAAGGCGGACCCCCCCGACCCCAGCTCTTGTGCTGTGCAACCAAGAGGTCCGAGTACCAGTCTCTGGCCTCCATCTTCATCAACATGATGGCTGTCATCTGCGGCGGGCCATACGGAAGGCAACTCCTCGGTGTAGGGTTCAGGGTTTAGGGTTCAGTGGTTAAGGGTTGCGAGTTTAGGGTTTAGGATGAAGCGATTCCCGGGTGCAGGTCGGCAGTCAATTTTGTTTTGTCGGAGTTGTACCTTGCGCGAGGCTCCTCAACCAGTGTCCCTGAGGGTAGGTCTTGTTGAAATCCGCCAAACAAGGACAGGTTCAGACATCAGGGACCCAATTATCGACCTTATCATAAGGACTGCTACGATGGTACCAAAATTTCCTGAAGTTTTACGGTTCAGGGTTGAGGCGTTCACATGACTCTGGCTTGGAGGTTTGGCGACGCTGTGGATCGACGTGCCAGAAGCCAAGCTCTGCAGAGGGCTTTTTATCAAAAGTGCAGAGCCGCATGTAGGAACTCGGGACCTGCAGAATTACTAACTCTATTTTGACAAAGGGCCCCCAAAAACCCTATTCTAATCATCAGGGCCCATGTATTACTAACGCTTAAAGTTTTTTTTACTTTAGCCAAGATTAGCATAAGCTCTCAAGAGCTGTGGGAAAAGGGCCGGACAGATGCTGCTGATGCTGGCTCCACGGGTTGGCTGGACCTGCTTTCCGAGCATTCGGTTTAGGGTTTAGGGTTTTAGGGTTTAGGGTTTAGGGTTGAGGGTTTAGGGTTCATAAACATTTCTGCATGTGTTTAGAGGCTTGAGGGTTCTACAGGTGTTCCACGGCAGTATCCTTATGGTAGCCTCAAGGAACCTTTTTCGTACTCTACAACTAGCCTTAAACCTTAAACCTTGCGGGTTGCGGGGCTCGGGAGCGCCGGCAACGGGAAAAGCATGGGCAGCTGATGCTGATGATGCTGGGCCTGGTTTGCGACAGGCTGGAAAACCCAGGACAGCTGATGCTGATGATGCTGTCTCGGCGTTGGGGGGCGGGGCTTGGGTTGGTGGGGACTCTTGAAGGTGCATGCTCTTTTTTGTGCATGATGTTGATGATTTTGCGGGAGAGCCGCTGATGCGGATGACTTCTCCGGCCATGGAAGTTCTCAAGTGGATAGCTGTTGACGACTGGTGATCACCTTGCCGTAACAGCAGTTTGCTGGGCAGAGCGGCTGACGCTGATGATGCTGGCTCCGCCGTCGATCCTGGCAAAAGGGCGAGCCGCTGATGCCGATGATGCCGGCGTTCTTTCGTGGTTGAGCTTCGGTGTCGGGAAAAGGCCGAGCCACTGATGCTGATGATGCGTCGCTTGGTTGGTTTGGAAGAGTGGCCAAAGATGCTGTCAGCTTTGCTTTTGTTTTTGAGAGGACTTGGAAAATCTGCAGAGTTACTCGTTGCAAAGCGACCGACAGCTGATGCTCATGATGCTGGCTGGAGCTTGGCAGCAAATCAAGACGACGAGCAGCTGATGCTGATGATGCTGGCTGTACAACGATTTTCGGGTCCTGGCCCAGAGACTTTGCAGTAAATCCCAAACCCTCAATCCTAAACCCCGGTGCTCGTGGGTAAAAACGTCTGCTCAGGGCCTTTTATACGGTTTTGGGTTTGGGGTTTGGGGTTTAGAGTGCAGACTCGGAAGAAGGCTCAAGGGGTTTCTGAGGGTTCAGGATTCTCGGGTTTAGTCGGCTTTCCCTTTCGCGCCTTCACCCTAAATCCTAGCTCCCAAACCCCCAATCTTTTATAACCCTACAGAAAGAATGCTTACAGCCATTTTCACGAACCTAAACCCTAAACCCTAAACCCTAATCCCTAACTTAGACATGAAACGAACCTAAACCCCACTCCTTAAATATCCTGAATCAATTTGCAAAACCAGTCGGAAGCCTTTCAGTTCCCGAGTCCGAAACCGGAAGCTCTTCAGCCTAAACCCTAAACCCTAAACCCTAAACCCTAAACCCTAAACCCTAAACCCTTAACCGTCAGCTCAGGTGGCGGTTGGAATCTTCGGCTTCGGCACCTTTCTGCAGGGTTGGCAGCGGGACTCAGGGACAGGGCTCTTTTCGGACTGAGGGGTTTAAGGGTAAAATTCGTAAAATTTAGGAGTTTCGGATTTAGGATAAACTTGAGGTGTTTAGGGTTTAAGATTTAGGGTTTCGGAGTTAGGGTTTAGGGGTTTAGGGTTTAGGCTTTCGCGATCTTGTTGGCAGTTGGTCTGCAGGCTTAGGACCTGCACCCTGCGCGCCACGACCCGGTGACCGGCCCAGCCCCCCCCGAACCCCGATGAAACCCCAACAAGACTCTCATGAACGGGGTTTTAGGGCTTAGGGTTTAGGGTTTAGGGCTTAGGGTTTAGGGTTTAGGGTTTAGGGTTTAGGGTTTAGGGTTTAGGGTTTAGGGTTTAGGGTTGTAGGGCTTAGGGTTGTAGGGCTTAGGGTTTAGGCGTGGTTGGATGCTTTGGGTGCTTGGGTGTTTAGGCATGTAGGCCGACCCCCTTAGACTCTTAGACGTCAAGTCTCCAAAGCTGGCGAATTTTGGCCGAGAACCCCTCAACCCTAAACCCTAAACCCCCCAAAAACCTCAAAGCCTAAACCCTCATAGATCCCTTCATACTGACACCTTTTAAAGGAACCCTGAACCCTAGACCCATTACGGTGCTACGGTTGATGGAGAAAATCCTGCATGACCTTATATGCCTAAACTATGGGGTTTTATGGCCTAAACCCTAAACCCTAAACCCTAAACCCTAAACCCTAAACCCTTATTTGGGTCATGCAGAATTTTGTTCATCAACAGTATGGGGGCCGAGGGCACTTCAGATCTTCGGCTTCACCAACAGCGCCTTGTGGATCTCCACCTTCGTCCGCGAGCCCAGTTTCTTATGGTTTGGGGTTCTAGGGTTTAGGGTTTAGGGTTTAGGGGGGGCTTTGGATCTCCACCTTCGTCCGCGAGCCCAGTGTCTTATGGTTTGGGGTTCTAGGGTTTAGGGTTTAGGGTTTAGGGGGGGCTTTGGATCTCCACCTTCGTCCGCGAGCCCAGTTTCTTATGGTTTGGGGTTTAGGGTTTAGGGTTTAGGGTTTAGGGGGGGCTTTGGATCTCCACCTTTGTCCGCGAGCCCAGTTCTTCCCCCACATGGGTAGTTCTCTAAACCAGGGTCCCTCATAAGAAATTCTTAAAGGCGTTTCTGTCAGGGTACTATAAGGATTCTATATGGGCATATGGGTAGTTCTCTGAATTCGGGTTCTAGGGTCCCTCATAAGGGTTTCTGTAAGGGACTATAAGAATTATATAGTAAGTCTCGGTTCTGATGGTTTGCGGCTCTAGGGCTTGTGGTTCTAGGGGGTTTGGGGTTTCCAGGGGGCTTAGGGTTCTCGGGTGTTTAGGGTTTAGGGGATTCAGGGGTTCAGGGAGTAGATCTGGGTTCTGGGTTTAGTGTTCTAGGGCTTCGGGTTCTAGGATCTAGGGGTACCTGGAATGTAGTAGGGCCAGGGTCTCCTTCTCAATCCTTGTGGAGGGAGAGGGGAGTTTGTTTTTCTTTTTTTTCCCTGTGAAGGGGGGGGGTGATTTATCAGGGGTCTGGGCTAAACCCTAAACCCTAAACCCTAAACCCTAAACCCTAAACCCTAAACCCTAAACCCTAAACCCTAAACCCTAAACCCTAAACCCTAAACCCTTAGGTTCAGGGGTTGGGTCCGAACTTTCCGGCCGGAACCAGTGCTTCACGTACAGTGAGAAACGGATTGCACCAACCAGGCGAGTCACCAATCTGATCGGTTTAGGGTTTAGGGTTTAGGGTTTAGGGTTTATGCACCTTGATAAGGTTCCTTGTTGTAGTTGTAGCAGAGTAGGCCCCAAACTCTATTCCCAGTGTTCAGACCCCTGTAGTACCATCGATGTTGTTATTAGTTGGAGGGCTTGGGGTTCTATTTCCAAGCCCTTTGGTGTAACCCTTGTCAGAACCGGAATAGTAAGCCACCTTAAACTCTAAACCCTAAACCCTAAACCCTAAACCCTAACCCCATCCAAAACTAAGCACGAGCCAGGCACAGATTATCGGGTCCTTCGGGCTGTCCAGCAATGTCGCCTGCTCGCACGGATTGGGGAGGGCCTACACCGCCTCTAAAGGCCCTGGATATTTAGGGTTTAGGGTTTAGGGTTTAAATAGGGCCGTTGCTTGGAGGTTCATGGGTAGTTATAAGCCTTTTCGGTTCCAAAATAGGGCTCCCTTTAAGGGTATGGAGGCTCGTGGGTAGTTGTAAGTGGGGGTTATAACTAGGGCAACTCTTACTTCTAAGCCATACTGGGCCATTCAACAGTTCCCATGAACCTCCAAGTACGGGGCTACACGGGGATGCTACTACTAATCATTTCGAGTCATAATGATTACTGCATCCCTGCATTCTTCGCCCCACTCCTACTTGGAGGCCCAGGGGACTTAGTAAGTAGGTTATAAGTAGAGTTATAAGTACCCTAACTGGAGTTGCCCCAATTATAACCCTACTTATAACCGACTTACTAAGTCTCCTGGGCCTCCAAGTACAGCCCTACTTACCTGGTAGACTCCAACATGGCCCCCTAAGCTAAGGGAATCTCTGATGGACGTGAAGAATCGCGGGACTGACTTCGGGGTTTAGGGTTTAGGGTTTAGGGTTTAGGGTTTAGGGTTTAGTGCTGCCTTTAAGCGGCATGATCTGTTGCTGATGCGACCGATGAAACTAGGTGAGGTGGTCTAGGGTTGGTGGTTATATCCTTCAGAAGTCGCAAGTCCACAGAGAATCCTGAGACCCACTGAAGCCCCCTAAACCCTAAACCCTAAACCCTAAACCCTAAACCCTAAACCCTAAACCCTAAACCCTAAACCCTAAACGCCCTGAGCCTCGCCAGAGAATCCTGAAACCTTCGAGTATCGAGCATTTTGTTTGATGAGGTCGGAGTAGGACCCTTGCGAATATGCGGTCGGAGCGATTACAGACTTCGGAGCACCCATGTTGAGGGGCCTAAACCCTAAACCCTAAACCCTAAACCCTAAACCCTAAACCCTAAACCCTAAACCCTAAACCCTAAACCCCTATGCCTCGGAATCCCTGGGTCATGGGGCTTAGGGTTGTTCTGCGATCCATTCCCTCATTGCCTGGTAAGACCCAGAGAGTCATGGCCTTAATCCTTTTACCCTAAACCCCAAGCCCTAAACCCTAAACCCTAAACTTAAACCGCTAAACCCAGAACCCAAAACCCTCAAATACCTAAACCCCTAAACCAAAACCCCACTCTCGAGGTGATGTTTGCACTGGCCACGGATGCTCGGGACCAAGCCAGAGGATTCCAGCAGGGTTTAGGGTTAGGGCTTTGGGGGTCTAATCCCTGAGCCCGAGGCCCCCTATACTAGAGGATTACTTGTGAGTGAAATCCCTAAA